TGTGTTATCCTTCTGGTAAATATCTAAGTCTATGGCTGTAAATTTTTTTTTTTTTTTGCTTTCTTATATTGGAGTTTTGTTAAGCTTTTTATAGATTGTGATTTTAGAAAGTTTTAATAGATTCTCATTGTACCCTGCTTAACTTTCGTTAAAGCTGGTCTTGCAAATTTGAGTTGTCACATAGCTCACATACTAAGAGATCAGCTCAGCAGAGCTCTGAGCTAGTTTAATGAAGTCAGATAATACTCTATTCTAAAGAGAATTAGCATCTGAAATGTAGTTGCATAATTATGGCATTATTGGCAGGAATGCATAATGGTTTAATCACTTATGCCTTATTCTGTAAAAGCTTAAAATTTTTCGTGTTATTTGGAGTGTATGTGGATTGAGCCTTCTTGTATGAGTTCATTTCCCACTTTTCCACAGTGTGATGACATTCTTGTATTTATGATTAGATAGGCCAAACGCTGTTCACCAACTCAGAGTAATTTCTACTTTTAAATTTTACCTTGTATGTTTTGTTATTTGGAAAACGGTTACCTTTAACATAGGTGAAGATAAAAAAGGACTTGCATGGGTTGAGTTCCTGGTTGTTTTGGATTGTTTTGTTTTAAGTGATATAGTACTTAGCTAAAAGTGGCTAAATGAATCCTTTCCTACCATGTGGTGAAAGACTTTTTTTTTTTTAAAACAATTTTAGTTCATTGCAGAGTAGTTGTTTCTTAGTTACAATGCTATGACCATACATTTGAACGTTGCTCTGTATCTGTGCTCAGCATTATGTACTAGTAGCAGACTGGCAGCAGTTTATTATTTCACTTAACCAAAAGTCTGGACTTGGCATTTTTGGGGTGGGCTCAGCAGCTGCATGTGGTTTGTCCTTCCCCCTTAGGTTTACAAAGTAACACCTTAAAATGGTGTTCTTGTTCCCTGCCACTCTCCCAGGATGTCTGAAGCAGGAAGGAAGAATGAATGTGACAAAAAGGGGATCTTTTTGTTTGTTTTCTGTATTTTTTAGGCAATAAAAATATAGACTTGGCAACTCTAGTAACTTCTGCTGTTTGAAATCCCCAGAAAACTTTTTTTGTATCTGATTTTTTAAACTGTGTTTTCTAGCCATATCTTTACAAGTTGATGGCAGAGAGACAGTGGATTACCATTAATGGTTTCTGCCAGTTTTGATTTTCTGTGGTGCTTGCCCAGTCTCCCGAAGTAAATAGGGGTTTGGTTAGAAGGAAGGAGGAGTGCCAGGTATGTTAGTTACTAATGATGCCTGCAGTGTTGAGAAGAGAACTTAGCCTGAGCATCCAAGACATTGAATTTGTTAGCTTACTTTATTGTGTTACACAGTTCAAAATGGTGAAGGAAGAAAACAAAAGCCTTGACATCAGAATCAAGCCTTTTGATTCTGAGAGTATGCCGTTGGGCACTATTGCTGTGGACTGGAGTGTAGTTGGGTTGTGCCATGATTTAATAACTAGCCAGTCTTTAATTAGCCTAAGAAAATAGAAAACTGTTCTTGTCCTTGCAGTCTTTTTTTGAATGATATATATTTTACTACTTTCAGTGTTTCATTTTGAGAAGCTACACAATATGTCTTAAACCTTGATTTTTTTTTTCTGATTACTTTTGCAACCATGTTAGAAAATTGAAGTGATTTGGCATGTTAAGACATGTTTCATTCATCATCTTCACAATATTTCTAATATTTCATTTGAACAAGTAGGCTTTGTATTTTGTTACGTTACTGCTTGCTTTTAGTATTTGATTGAGGAATTTTTAAAACATCCGTGTGCTTGCTCATAATAGCAAGAATCTATTTATCTCCTATATTTGTATCCCAGTAGACAATACATGTAAGCGTTACTTTGCTGAAGTCATTCTGAAGTTGAGTAATTTACACATGTGTATTTTCCCAACGGTTATTTGAGTATTTGCTGCTATTATTTGGGTTTTAAGTCTCTGTTATTAAATTAGAGATATTTGTATATGTGGTTGCTGATATTTTTGACTTTGGGGGTCATGTAGGAGTCGGTGTTCAGGTACAGTGAAGACTGAGTCCTCCAGGCCTGCTGCTGTGGCAGGAAGCTAGTTACTTTAGCCACCTCTGCTGTCTTCCAGGGTCTGCCTGAAGTTGAATCCCAGTACTCTATTGTGGCATACAGGCATCTTAACCATTAGGCTAAAATGCCTGCTGCAGTTTCCAGTTATTATAACAGTAAATCAGAATGACTTTAGCCAGATAGTGGACCAGGGAACTTCAGAAAAAACATCGAGCAATAAACAGAAACTCTTAGAGCAGACTTTTTTTAGAACTCTGGAAAACAAAGGCTTGTAGCCACTGAGCAAACATTTTCATCACCACAAAAAGAAAACCCTGTGTGCTTCAGCTGTCCCTTGTGTCCTTTCACCACCATTCTTCCTCCTTCCCCCGTCTTCAGCACTACTTTTATTTCTATGTGAAATCACGTAATTATATCACTTTACTTATAAGTGAAATCATGTAATTTGTAGTATTTTGTGAAGAACTTCTTTCATGTAGTATATTCAGTGTTCTATGCTGTGGCATGCATGAGATCAGTTCTCTTTTTTTGGTGGTGGAATATTTTACTGTGTGGAACAATATTTTGTTTAGTCACTTAGCATTTACATTTTTCACATAATACAGCACCAAAATACTTTCAGCCAGAATTTACCATTCACCAATAATATTGGATATTTTAGTGCTTTATTTTTAGTAATGGGTAGTAGTAGAGTATATCAAAGGGGTGGAGAAGACAACGCTGTAAGTTAGAGCTGATGAAATCTGTGCTATATCTTACCTGATAGTGGATTGCAAATTGTTCTTCAGTGCAATGGGATACTTTCCTGGGTACACCCATATACTAGGCCATAAAACAAATTTTAATAAATATAAACATATACATGATGATATATATTTTTATAAACAATAAAATTTTGTTCTCTGATATATGAAGTTAGAAATCAAGAAATTTAAGGAACTCAGAAATTTGACATGAAACAACAAATTCATAAATACTGGCAAATCAAAGGGAAAAAAATCAAAAGGCAAATCAAAAACTACTTTATCAGAGGTGAAGATGTAGTTATAACATCAAAATAAATGGAATGCAGCCAACATAGTGCGTAAAGGGATTTATATCAGTAAATGTCTGTATTACAAGAGAAGAAAGATCTCAAATTAGTTCCCTTCCATCTTAAGACATTGGAACAAAACGCAAAGTATACTTTTAGCCTATAAAAGGCAGGAAATAATAAAATATTAATAATGAAGGAAATAGGGGGCTAAAAAAAAACAACAACAGAGGAAATCATTGAAATCTAAAGCTAGTTATTTGACAGATCAGCGAAATTGACAGATTGACAAGATGGAAGACGCTCAGATTAGTTGAAGTAGAAGAAACATCATTGAGTTTACACAAATAGAAGATTAAATAACATTACAGTGAACAGATTGTGTGCCAACCTATTAGATAACTTTGGTGGACAGAATCTTAGAGTGAAAATGCCAAAACTGACTCAAGAAGAAATCTGAGTAGACTGGTAACTAGTGAAAAGAGATTAAAGCAGTGATCAAACTGCTGCGCACGAAGGAAGCTTGAGTTTAGATGGGATCTACCAGTCGTTTAAAGAAGGGTTAATGACAGTTCTTCATGCAGATGCATACACATGATACGAAAGTGTGTCCCAAGTCATGAGGTCCTTGTTAACACAGATACCAAGACCTAAGATAACACAGGAATCTACATTCCAGTATTTCTTATGAACATGGATGTAAAAATCCTCCACAGTTACAGATTAAGCCTTTAAAAGAAAAGAATTATAAAACAAGGTCAGTTGATATTCTCTCAGGAGTCTTAAGGGTGATTTAATTTAAAATAGTTGTTATTGTAATCCATAAGGTCAATAAAGTGGAAAAAAAAACCCACACCTCACGAAGTACCCCCCACCTCACCAAGTGATAAAATCTCATTCCATTCCATGGTAGAAGCAAGAAGGCAACTTTCTCAAGCTGGGAAAAGGGATCTTGGTGTAAGATATTTGGTTTATTGCTTTAGATTTATTTGAAAGACAGAGCCAGAGAGTGAGGATAGAATAGAGAGAAGAAGCCAGCGTGAGTGTGTGCGCAGACACACACAACAGCTCACAGCATTGGGGACTGGATCAGGCCCAAGTGAGGAGCCCAGAATTCCAAGGTGTGGCTTTCAGAAGTGAAAGTGTTTTAGCCCTCAACTGCTGTCTCCCATGCACGCATTAGCAGGAGGCTCTTCTGAAAGTCAGCTGGGAGTTTGGACTCCGGCACTGGGAATATGGGATGCTGATGTCCAAACAGCATCTTGACTGCTGTGTGGAAATGCCCACTCCCTGAGTGTAACTTTTTACTGTGTTACTTCAGTGGTCACTTTTATCTTTAGCTCACAACATTTGGCCGTTGTGTTTGGTGTAAGTTCTTAACTTTTGTTCTAATCTCAACTTTGTGTTAATGTTACATGTACTTTTTATAAACCCGTACTGCGGTACTACTAGTCTTTGCTGAGACATTTTTAAAGTAGCTCAGGATAATTAGAAATGCTTGTGTACTCAGTGGTCTTCATTCCTTTTTGTAGGTCCATATTTTTATTGGAATAGTTTTCCTACTCTTGAAATAGTTATTTTAACATTTCATGTGGTGCAGGTCTTCTGATGAAATGTTGCTTTAGCTTTTTAAAGATTTATGTATACAGTAGAGAGGAAAAAAGAGAGGAAGATCCTCAGTCCGATGATTCACTCCCCAAGTGACCGCAAAGGCCAGAGCTGAGCTGATCCGAAGTCAGGAACCAGAATCGAGACCTTCTTCCAGGTCTCCCATGTGGGTTTAGGGTCCCAAGACTTTGGACCGTCCTTGACTGCTTTCCCAGGCCAAAGTCAGGGAGCTGGATGGTAAGTGGAGCAGCTGGGATACAAACCAGTGTGCATATGGGATCCTGGCTCATGCAAGGTGAGGACTTTAGCCACTAGACTATCATGCCGGACCCAAAAATTCTAGGTTTTTTTTTTTTTTTTAAAGATTTATTTTTATTATTTTTTATTGGAAAGGCGGATATACAGAGAGGAGAGACAGAGAGGAAGATCTTCCGTCCGATGATTCACTCCCCAAGTGAGCCGCAACGGGCCGATACTATGCCGATCCGAAGCCAGGAGCCTCTTCCGGGTCTCCCACGCGGGTGCAGGTTCCCAAAGCTTTGGGCTGTCCTCGACTGCTTTCCCAGGCCACAGGCAGGGAGCTGGAAGGGAAGCGGGACTGCCGGGATTAGAACCGGCGCCCATATGAGATCCCGGGCGTGCAAGGCGAGGACTTAACCACTTGCGCCACTGCGCCGGGCCCAAAAATTCTAGGTTTTAAAAAAGCTTCTGATGATGTTGATCCACTGCCTTTTAGCATGTGTTGTTTCAAGTAGAAATCTGCAGCTATCCTTACATACTTTCTCTTGTACGTAATGATAGTTATTTATTTATATCTTCTTTTTTTAAAGTATAGTTTTGGTAATTGTTACATAGTTAAAAAGGTTCAAGGGCTACAGGAAAGTGGGTAAGGCTATTAATTCTACTTTGTTTCCTTCATGCCCACCTACCCCAGGTCCCTGATGTGGGGTGGGGCATGATCTGAGGGTCCTGCTCAAGTCATAATGACTTTTTAAAAATAAATGTTTAGGTGCTTATTTAAAAGGCAGAGGAACACAGGCAAGAGAAAGACTGCGATCTTCTATCTGTTTGTTCACTTTACAAATACCCTCAATATGCAGGGCTGGGTTAGGTTGAAGCTAGAGCTCATCAGAGCACCAGGTTGTTAGCAAGGGCTCAGTACTTGAGCCAATAGCAAGCTCTGCCTTCTGGTGATAGTATTAGCAGGAAACTCAGATTGGAAATGGAGCCCAGGCTCTCTGATGCGGGGATCGGAGTGTCCCTAGTGGTATCTTGCTGCTGTACGAAATGTCACCTCCTCTTAATGTTTTTAAGATTTGATCTGTATTACCAGTTTTAGGGATGTTGTTAAATGGTCTATCTTGGTATAGTTTTATACAATGATTTTTGTGCTTCAGTTCATTGACCTTTTTGGATTAGTGAATTTACATGTTTATTCACTTTTGAAAATATTTTATACTTTTTTGAAGATTTTTTTTTAAATTGCAAAGTTAGATATACAGAGGAGGAGGATAGAAAAACGTTTTGTCCATTGATTCACCCCAAGTGGGAGCAGTGGCTGGAGCGGAGCCAATCTAAAGCCATTAGCCTCTTCTGGGTCTCCCATGTGGGTTTAGGGTCCCAAGACTTTGGGCCATATTCGACTGCTTTTCCAGGCCACAGGCAGGGAGCTGGATGGGGAGAGGGGCTGCTGGGATTAGAACTGGTGCCCATATGGGATCCTGGCATATGCAAGGTGAGGCCTTTAACTGCTAGGCTACCACCCCAGGCCCTTCATGCTTTTTTTTTCTGCCTTCATTTCCCTTCATAGACCACTCCTGTGTATGTATTAATAAACCTTTTAGAATTTTCTGATTCATATCTTGCTTTTTTCCCTTCACCATCTAACCCCATATTTCATTGCGAATTTTGTAATGGCTAACTAAGTCTTCAGATTCATTTATCTTTTCTCCAGCAATGTCTCATGTGTTCATTGCAACAGGCGTTCTGTTTCAGGTGCCCAGATATGTTTGGGCATGTGTCTGGAACTTGGATCTATTGGTCTGTTTTCCTGTGTTTTCATCACTGATATTTATTGTCTTTATGGCTGTGATTTTCAGGTATGTCTTGATAATTTGGTAGGATAAGAAAGAACTCCACTTTTAATGTCCTTCAAGATTGTCCTAGCTATTCTGCATCTTTAATTTCCATATGAATTTATTTTAAAGCCAACCTGTTTGTTTCAATTAAAAAGAAACTGCTGAAGATTTGATGAAAATTCTGTTGAATTTGTAGATTTGGAAAGAACAGTCAGTTTTATAATACCGTACCTTCCAAGTGTGAGTGTATAGTGTGTGTGTTTCCATTTATGTAAATCTTAGTTTCTTAGTAGTCCTTTACAGTTTTCACTGTGATTTTCGTCTTTTAGGTTTGTTAATTGGCATATGATGTCTTGGTGCTCTGGTAAACACTGTGATTCAAATTCTGTTTTTTACTTATATGTTGCTTTGAGTGTAAAAAATTTTAATCTCTTGACCTAATGATCAATGACATTTGCCCTCATAGCTTATAGATTCCTTTGTGTGTTCTGTGTGTTCAGCTGTGTGAAGTATAAAAAATGACAGGATTACCTCCACATTTGTAATCTTTATGATCCTTATTTGAGTTTTCTTGTTTTCACTGTCTAAGGTCTCCAGGGTAATAATGTTTAGTAGATGGAATAGTTAACACCCTTCCCTTTATCCTGCCATGAAAAAAATGGTATTTCCCTGTTAAGTGTGATACTTGCTTGTTACAGGCAGCCTTTTAAATTTAGCTGCTCTGATGAAGAAGTATTTCGTTGTGTGTGTGTGTGTGTTTTTACTGTAATTTATTCTTTTTAAAAATGGTGTGAATACTTCAGTAATTGTGAACAGTTGTTTATCTCTCCAGTTTGTAAATTATTAGTTTGAAAAAGGCCCCATTTGGTGAGACTGACCTAATTTTATTCCTTCCCCGGATACCAGAGATACTTGTTACCATCTTTGTATATTTAATATAAAATTTCATAATTTTGTAAATTCCCCTTGTATTTACAAAAGTAATGTCTGAAATATGTTAAAAATGAAAGCACTTCAAAGCAGATTATAGGAAAATGCAGATCCTCTGTCTCAGGTCACACCTCTGTTATGCTGAGGCAACCTGTTTCCAAGTTTGTTTTTTTTTTTTTTTTAATACGGCAACCTTTCACTTTTACTGTCTGGTATAAGCAATACACATTTATATATACTACTCAGATGCCTCAGCTTCTCAGTTATTCTGGGTTTTGTCTTCGTTGTGGAAAAGTATTAGTATTTTGTGAAGAATAAATATGCTTCTACAAGCATTTTTTTAAGGTTTATTTTATTTTTATTGGGAAGGTAGATATACAGAAAGGAAGAGGTCCATCGATCTTTCACTCCCCAAACGGCCGCAATGGCTGGAGCTGAGCCAATGCAAAGCCAGGAGCCAGGAGCTTCCTCCAGGTCTTCCACACGGGTGCAGGGTCCCAAAGCTTTTTGGGCCATGCTCAACTGTTTTCCCAGGCCACAGGCAATGAGCTGAATGGGAAGTGGGACTGCCAGGATTAGAACTGGTGCCCATAAGGGATACCAGGCATGTTTAATGCGAGGACTTTAACCACTACGCCATTGCTTCGGGCCCACTGGGGTCAAATTCTGGCTCCTAACTTTGGATAGACACAGCCCCGACTGAGGCTGTCATTCGGGGAGTGAACCAATGGATGGAGGATCTTTCTCCTTGTCACTTCTCTCCGTAGATCCACTTTTCCAATAAAAATAAATAAATCTTAAAAAAAAATTAGAACCCAGAGTTCTAAAATAGTGGGTATTTTCTTTGATGCACACATTCTGATGTGTTTTCAATCAGAGCTATTTCCAGAGATAGAATAGAATTTTAAAGTTTATCACTAGTATACCCATCTGTCAGGTTACCACAAATTTGTCTTTGTGTGTGTGTGTGTGTGTGTGTGTGTGTGTGTGTGTGTGTGTGTGAGAGAATTTTGTCATTCAGGGGTTGATAGCCCATTCTTGAATTTTCTGAATGACTGTCAGAGCCTCCTTTATATAGTGTATAAGTGTTATTGCTAGTGTGTAACTGTTATTGCTACTTTGCTTTTATCTGACTGTGCTTATTTTTTTTTCTAATGGAATTAAAGAAGATGGCATTAAGAGTAGGTAGCTTTTACATTGTCAGCACTAGCTGTGATTGGCGGGAAGAATAAACAATATGAATTGATCAGAATTTTTAAATTATTCTAGAATGAAAATACTTCAAGGGTAAATCATGTAATCATAATTAGAACTGAGGAGAAAATTTTTAAGTTAAAATGCATCACAAATATGTCTGCTTTTATAAATTGTTTTCCATAGGTAAGTGGAATGTATGTTTTATGCTTTGCAAGTTATTAGCTGCTATTACCAGACAATCTTCCCTGTGTGAAGTGTGACGTTTCTGTTCTGTGGAAATTCCCAAAGGATTGTATGAGAAAATTCTGAAATAAAGGGCCAGATTAACTTAAAAAAAAAAAAAACTACTTGGCCTACTTGGAAAGAAATAAACAACTGTAGGCTACAGTTTTTGCTTTTCTGGAATGCCAAATTTCAGCTCTGAGCAAATTCTTCAGCAGAGCAATAAACCTTTGAAAATTGCTTTATAATGGAAATGCTGACAGACCATTAACTATAGTGGTGCAAATGCACTGCTGTGACATACATAAGGTTGTCCCAAGTTGCTAAATACAATAAACCATGTTGGGCAGTGTACATCCTGTGGAAGCCTGTATGGATGTATACTGTTTGTTACCTAATTATTGATGGGAAAGCTAAAATGTAACACCTTTGACTTGTAGGAGAAGTATCATTTTAGAAGGAAAGAAAGAGTAGTTTAGGCTCTGGTGATGCTGATAGCTCATTTTATATTTGCCACACTGGAAAAGGCCCTGGGTAAATTTAACATGATGCATTTAATCACCATTCCAATTACAGTGCCACTGAAGCAGATCAATGTTTTCTTAGTACCAATTCATTGGAACTTCTAGGTCATAAAGTATCATTATTAGGCATATTGGAAAGTCTCAGCCCAGTGGAAATGTGGATTCTGGGATTTTCCAATTGCTTTGAAATAGTAACAGAGGCTGCTTGGATGTACATTTTCTCCATATAAAATGAAAACTGGAATTTAAAGGGATTGAAATGACAAAGTGAGAATCCTATAATGCTCCAGGGAAGGATGAAACAGAGTTTTCACATCTGAAAGTAAAATAAGGAGAATGATAGAAAGGGGTTGGATACTCCATAGCTGCCTGCTTAATGACTGATAGCCTTGGTAGTGATAACTGCCGTGAAACTGCCTTGTCTTTGGCTTTATTCAGAGCATTTAGCACAGTGCATGGCACATAAATATTTAGTGGATTTACTTGTGTTCTTTATATGAAAATTATTAAGGGCTTGTCAAACTCCATGCCAGATGTCGTGTTTGTGTGTGTCCGTATAATGCATCTGTGTACACAGCTGCTTGGAGTTAATCCATAAAAGATTCATCACAGGCAATGTAGGTCTAATTTGGTAGACAATTCATGATGTTAGTAGTCACATTCTCATCACTCTCAAAAGAAAATCTGTACTCGTGGAACACTCATTTCCTGCTTACTCTTACACCCTGGCAACTGCTCATCTGTTCTTTGTCTCTCGATTTTACCTATTCTGCCTCATATGAATGAAGTCATACATGTGTTTATTTTCACTTGGTATTACAATTTCAGGA